AAAACCAAATAACAAACCTCCAAGTCAAAAATATCGATTTCCTCTTCCATGTCTTCTTCAAAAACTCTTTGCCGCATGATCTTGGCAATCTCACGCCACTTGCAGAAAACCTTAGATGCAAAGAAGGGTAAGAAATAACTTAATTAGCAGTTTAGTGTTAATATAGACATACATTAGTAGTCTGAACGCTTTTCTTCAGAAGGGAAAAGAAAAGTAACTTCACCGCATAATAGCCAGTTAATTTTACAAGATACACGTTTCGCTACCCGACGCAAAAAAGGGTCTTTTCAAAATGACTTTTCTCCTTTCTATGTAGCTTTAGAAGAAATATAGATCGTTTCAGTTTACCACCACCGACAGGTTACGGACACGTTACCGACAGTTGGCCAAAACTTTGGCCTGAAACATGACGAAAACTGTCAGCCAACAGTATATATTGGGAACTGTTCTTCACTTTTATCGACATGTGTGCAAAAGCAGAGCGGGAACGAGTGCCTCCTATCCCCACACTCGCACTTCCTTTTGCCCGCTCTTCCGCATTCACTCTTACAGCAGTAAATAACAGTGTGAACTGTAACCATTTGCTGCGGTTCGAAGAATAGCAGAAAATTCATGCTTTCACGGTTCACTGAGGTTTTGACTGTTGCTATGGCGACATCAGAGCTGCTAGCACGTGCTGGCGCGACTTTCCTGAAGGAAATCATTTTACACTGGCATCGCTGCAGCCTTCGGGTTCTTGTTTAATTTTATTTACTAGTACACTTTTCATTCTGTTCTCATGTTCTGGTCATTTTGATAACCTTCCTCCCTCAAGTTAGTTGTTAAATGCCTGGCGGAAGGGATCAAGTTTCCTCCGAAAGAAATGAGTTTTTTCCTGACGGGTAGCAGGCATGCTAGTTTATCATACAGTTGTTACACGCCTATTTCATGTATCATGTTTGACGTTACAATCAATAAATTGGGTCTGTTGCTCGCCGGAAGCCGGGCTCTATCCGTGTGGAGCTTCTAATCTTGTGCAGCAGCCAGTAACCTATTTACTAGTGAAAAGTTGTTGTTTATTGTCTGATTGAGGGTCTAGGGTAAACCGGTCCCGTTGTTAGCCAAGTGATACATCCGGCAACGCTGAAATTAAAGCCGTATTTTCTCAACGGGCTATTATCACAAATTACAATTTTTGTCACTAGTGACTCCCAAAATAACAAAAGAAACTTGCGTAATTTATTCCGCATATTGTTTCCGGTGTGATTCAAACTTGTGTGGAGACAACACGAGCAGAATTATCACTCATTATTCTGAATATTGCAACCAGCTTTGTTTTGTTAACCTAATTCATTAGCTGGATGTCTGAAATGGAATCACTTAAGTTACTTCGGTCTCGAAGGAGCTCTGATAACCGAAAGAAAAGAAAGAAGAAAGAGAGAGTTGAGAATGCAAAAAGAAGACGAAGTCGCAACGCTCGCGCACCAGAAGCCGAGAAGCCTCCAACAAAGCCGGACGAAACTGCTCAGGGAGCTCTTGAGTCCCCAGCTAACACACAGCAGAATACAAATGAAACAAAATGATTAAGAGAAACAGCTGAGCGCTATCACAAACACGCACTTCATTTCTTCGGTAAGTGGCGGGAAGCAGAGACGGAAAGTTTACGAGTAATAGAGGAGAGCAACCTAAAAATGACGGAGACCGAAATTGGTCGAGGGTCTTTTGGAGCTTGCTTCTTAGCAAAGTACGGCTCACGGACGGCAAGTAAACACGAGGCGAGAATGACCGCAAGACTAAGCCACCCAAACACCGTCTGCTTTATGGGTATAGTCAAAAGGCAAAGCAGAATTGGGTTGTGTCCTGGTGTACCGGTTAACGAAAATGTGTCCTGGTGTGCCCGTTAACCAAAATATGTCTTGGCGTGCTGGTTATCGAAAATTGCGTGACATCGGCCGATCGCGGAATGATAGCGTGACAGCTAGTTAGTTTCATGAATAATAAATGCTGGAAGGGGTAATTGGGCCAGTCGGGTCATTTGGGCCAGCGGGGTCATTTGGGTCATTTAGGCCAGTTGGGTCATTTGGGCCAATTGGGTCATTTGGGCCGGTTGGGTCATTTGGGCCGGTTGGGTCATTTAGGCCAGTTGGCTCATTTGGGCCGCTTGGGTCATTTGGGCCGGTTGGGTCATTTGGGCCGGTTGGGTCATTTAGGCCAGTTGGCTCATTTGGGCCGCTTGGGTCATTTGGGCCGGTTGGGTCATTTGGGCCGGTTGGGTCATTTGGGCCGGTTGGGTCATTTTNTACCAGGTATTAAAAATTGGTATTCATATTGTTTAATTATCTGCCATCAATACTAAAAGTCACAAGTACACAAGAAGCCTAAATCCTCATTTGGAGCAGACAGACTAGAGCACGGATATCGTCTTTCTTAATGACTAATTCTAAATATGTGATCAATTGACAATTGTTTGTTGTCATAGCTACCGAGAAAACAGCACGTGCGTGTCAGTCTTAACAATCGGTTGCCACTTTATTGTCCTGTCATGGCGTTCACGATCAGTTGCCGTAGGTGCAACAAGCGATTTAAGACGGGATATTCCGCGAGGAAGCATCACGAATATAGCCACGCTCCGCATCCCTATCAAAGTGGAATATTCAGCGACTCGCAAGGACAAGCGCTCGTGAACCAGCCAAATGCTAAACAATTGGGGAAGGAAGAGCTGCCTCACTATAAATTGTGGCTGGCACTAGTAGCTGACCAAATTATTGGATCCTTGACTCCAAGCGTTAAAGGTGAGAATTTGAATTGATGGAGATTCTAAGTCCCGTAAAATATGCATACGGCACTACTGTCTAAAGTAGAACTGACAAAGAAGTAAACAAGCAAACGCTTACGCGAAATCGTTCATTTACCAAGCGTTTCGCCGGTTACCGCACCAGCATAAATTTCTTGTATAGTAGTCAAATAAAAGTGTCTGATTGGTGTAACCTCCATTCTTTTCGTCTTTTTATTATTTTAGCTGGATGGCAACAGTTACATGACGTCCACGTGAAAAAGATTCATTTCGAACATCTACTTTTTACCCTCGGCAGTCCCCCTTGTAAAGCATTACAAGCAGCCCATACATCATGAAAGTACCCGCAAGTTTTCCTACAGAATGTATGATTTGGAAGCGGTTTTGAATGCACTAGCATACCAAGAGATTGTTAGACCGAAGACGTCGGCAGCGTTTAGGCATGGTGTGGAAGTAAACTTTCAACGCTTCACAAGTACAGAGGAAGCAGTCGAGGCAGCCAAACAAAGGGCGTTTTCGCGCTTCACGACGCGAGTTAAAGGTGAGCAACAAACACCAACAAGCCGTTCTGAAATTATTATAACTGCTGGAGAGGGTAGAGCAACCAGAGAAGTAGAACTAATTTGGTGGCCCGACGTGTTTCGAAAATGTAGAGACTACGGAAAATTGACAGTACGATTTTTTGTATCAAAAACAATTTTTAAACGTTAATTTTCATCATGTCAGCGAACATAAAGAAGGAACCTAGGACAGGTCACTGTTAAAAAAAAGACCTACTTATTAAAAAGACCTTCTACAGTTACAGTTTATTGTAGTAAGTGCAAGGCACTCAATTAGTTTGATACTTAGCCCTACTAGCAAGTAAATCTAATGACTTACATTTCGATAGGCATCTAGTTGATACTCAGCAACATAATTCTGAACATCTTCTGGGTACTTTTCGCCTTTCTGAAGGATGGTTAGCTTTGAAACTACTTCCTGTTGCTTTCTAATCCAAAATGCCAGCTTCGCATCTATTTCCTGCCTTAGGAGAACTAATGATAACAGTTCTCGTTAAAAGAGCATAATCAAAATTTATAGAGTAGATTTCCAGTAAACCCCGTTGTTTGCATTAAAATGCTACTAAGTTTGGTCACATCTCCGTTTGTTTTACAAAGACTAACATTCTTACAGGTTTATCTTAAGTAAATTGCAAATTGAAGGGGGAGTTAATTTTTAAGTGTATTAAATTTGGCATAAAATAAATGAAACGTTAGAATCTAACACTCAATGTATGGTTTTATAAAATATACCAGTTTCAGAAAAAGGTACAACTGAGCCTTATTTTTTGGATGCACACTCAATTATGTCTGTTACTCGAATGAAACGTTCGAGTATATGGTGTTTGATATACAAATAACAATTGCCATACTGGCTGATCCACAATCAATTATCCCTTGACAGACACCTCTATAAGATGGATTCCTCCCTTAACCAGACACCAAGAGTAAGCCCCTGCAGCTATTTAGTCATAATTTTTTTTTATGGTTTGACTTTCTAAGACACACGCCTTGGTAAGATGAATATTTAGTGCTGGTCCCAGCAGTTTCCATTTAAGAGAGTTCACTGAATACACAAATTTGCAAATTCAGTGATATAAAGCCCTTGAAATGTTTAACAAGCAGATTTAAAACTCACCAGATACATTTATGAGACACAGTACATGTAAAGAATAGTAAATAGGTACTCCCCCACTTGACAATAATTATTAAAAACAGAAAAAGGTAAAAGTACTCATGATTGCATCCTCAATGTCCAACAATAACGAAACATTTACTTTGACCAGTCATTGATCATGTATAGTTTAAACACACCATATGAAAAAGCAATGCTCACTAATGGACAATCAGTAAATCTTTACCTGTATCACCAATGCCAATTATGTTTGAGTGGGTTCCCCAGTCTCTCAAAAATGTTCCAGAATTTTTCAGATTAGTGTAGTGCTAACAAAAAATAGAATATTATGGATAATATTATTGTATTAATAATGTTATTACATATTATTATTAGCAACTAATAACTAAGTATGTTATTGTGTAATGTAAGTAGCACCTTTGTTATTGAGTATTATTATTATCCTTATTATTATTATTGATATTATTACATACGTCATTAATTGGACAATCAAAGAAAACCAAAACGTAGCAGTTTTTGGTGTGTTCCCTGCAGATACAGAGAAACAACATTCATACTCAAGATGATTTACCTATGAAACTCCAAGAATTTCTTCATGTTATATATCCCAGAAGCGCTCAGGCATTACTCTGAATGCCAGGACTTCAGCATGGGTGAACCAGAAAGGATACACAACACTTTCCTAAATCAACCTGTGAATGTCAAAGAAACTAAGTAAACTATGTTATATATCCCAAAAGTGCTCAGGCATTACACTAAATGCCAGGACTTCAGCCTGGGTGAACCAGAAAGGATAGACAAAACAGCCCTATATTGACTATCAATGAAAAGCTAAGTATGTTATATATCCCAGAAGCACTCAGGCATTACATTAAATGCCAGGACTTCAACCTGGGTGAAACAGAAAGGATATACAACACTTCCCTATATTGACCATTTAATGAAAAGCTAAGTATGTTATATATCCCAGAAGCGCTTAGGCATTACACTTAAATGCCATGACTTCAACCTGGGTGAACCAGAAAGGATATACAACACTTCCGTATATTGACCATTTAATGAAAAGCTAAGTATGTTATATACCCCAGAAGCGCTCACGCATTACACTTAAATGCCAGGACTTCAACCTGGGTGACCGAGAAAAGAAATACAACACTTCCCTATATTGACCATTTAATGAAAAGCTAAGTATGTTATATATCCCAGAAGCGCTCACGCATTACACTTAAATGCCAGGACTTCAACCTGGGTGAACCAGAAAAGATATACAACACTTCCCTATATTGACCATTTAATGAAAAGCTAGGTATGTTATATATCCCAGAAGCGCTCAGGCATTACACTTAAATACCAGGACCTCAACCTGGGTGAACCAGAAAGGATATACAACACTTCCGTATATTGACCTTTTAATAAAAAGCTAAGTATGTTATATATCCCAGAAGTGCTCAGGTATTACACTTAAATGCCAGGACTTCAACCTGGGTGAACCAGAAAGGATATACAACACTTCCCTATATTGACCATTTAATGAAAAGCTAAGTATGTTATATATCCCAGAGGCACTCAGGCATTACACTTTAATGCCAGGACTTCAACCTGGGTGAACCAGAAAGGATATACAACACTTCCCTATATTGACCATTTAATAAAAAGCTAAGTATGTTATATATCCCAGAGGCGCTCAGGCATTACACTTAAATGCCAGGACTTCAACCTGGGTGAACCAGAAAGGATAAAAAACACTTCCCTATATTAACCATCAATGAAAAGCTAAGTATGTTATCTATCCCAAAAGAGCTCAGGCATTACACTGAATGCCGGGACTTCAGCCAGGTGAACCAGAAAGGTTAAACAACATTTCCCTATATTAAGATATGAAATATGATATAGAATAATTAAAAAGTGATTAGGCAACACTAAACAGAAGAATATTATTACAGGATTAAACTTCAAGAAAATGGATTTCTGTAAAATTAAACAATGTTGACTGTGTTATACTACAATTGGTGCACACAATTCAATGTAATAATTCAAATGTTATACTGCTAGCTACCCAATATTTATACTTAAGTCTTCTGTAACAGGTGGTCTTTTCAAGCACTTGACTGTACCTGAACCATTTCCTCACAAAATGTAACTTGGTTCAACAGATATGTCTCAGCAACCTCTTTGCTCTAAAAAAAAAACTTGAGATTTTGTAATGGCAGTGAGCGCATCACAATCACATCAATGTTCTCCAAAAACCTGCGTTCTGTTGACCCTGAGAAGTAAACATAGTTGTGAATTAACAATAGTGAAATTGCAAAATCACTGGTTTC